GACGACAGTGTGGTCGGGGTGCTCATCCTTTTCATAAAGAATGTGGTTGGCAGCGACCATGTCGTCCACAACGTTGGACTTGGAGATCTCCTTAGAGCGGAACTGCTTCTGGGAGCTCAGGTTCTTGCCGTCGTTGTTGCCCAGGTGGTTGTAGCTGGCAATCGAGGTGAGCTTGATACCGGCATTGATCAGGAAGTCAACGAGAGCCGACTTCATCTTAGTCTGGCCGGACTTGAAGTCATCACCGCCAATGAAAGCACGACGCTGCTCAGCCAACTGAAGGGCGCCGGGGACAAAGGTGTTCTGTGGCGAGCCGTTAATGAACGGGGTGTCCTCGAGGATAGCGGCCACAGCGAACACGGTGGAAGGAGCAACCTCCAGGTGACCGGCCTTGATCGAGTTGACCAGGTTCTCAGCAGTGTCGTTGACACCAGGGATGATGTCCGCGTACCGCTCAGTGTTGGCAGTCCACATGATAATCACCTTGTCCAAGCCGTTCTGAGCCTTGAAGTCGCGAATATCCTTCTGAATATGCTCGACGTGGGCCCAGCAAGCTTTGTCGCCCTTGATGACATTATCGGCACGGTCCTCCTGGTTGGCAGCGATAAAGTCAGGGTAGTAGATGCTAGGCAGCGGCTTCATCTCGGCCATTTCCTTACGGACCTGGTTCTTGAGGGTGGGCTCCAGCACTTGAGCACGGTCCATGGACTCGGCGAGGTTCAGGCTGCTGATATCCCAACCGCCAATGATCAGATCGTTAGGGTGGACCATGGGGAGCAGATCGTGGAAGGGGATGTTGATATCCTCGCCGGTCTTAGAATCAGAGCCCAACTTGACAGTGGAGCTCATGACGATAGAACCGTAGTAGTTGGAGGTCTGCTGGCCATCGCGGGTCTCCCAGGAGAGCTTACGACGGTTGGCCAAAATACCAGCAGTCACGGTGGAACCGTTGTTTCCACCCCAACCGACTAGCATCATACCGACCTTGCCAACCTTGCGATTGACCTTGAAATTGTAGTTGGTGGTCTTGGGAGTAGCAACCAGCTTGTTGTCCGCGGTGCGGGTGATCTCAGTAGTCTGATAGGCGTACTTCGACTTGATTTCGTCATCGGTATAGACGACATTGGGAGACTGGACAGTAAACAAGGAAGATTCTTGGCGAACTGACCCGTTCAGCGCGCCATTGGCAGCATCCAAGCTAGCGTGAGGAGCCATTGCGTTCACAGCGGGATGAATAGGCGAATGAATGGTAGTGTGTGATAGCGTAGCTTTAACGGACAAAGGGTGCGCAGTCCGATACTCCTCCACGGTTGGATGAGCGTCGGCCGTTGAACGGGTGGTGCCGCCTGGGGAGGAGTTAGCAATTGGAGTTCATGGTTGCCTCCTTCTAGTAGGGAAACTCACGAGTTAAGACTTGTCGCGAAAATGGTGGCGGTTATCTGTGACCACTGTCTCAACGAGAAGTGATCTGACCTGCTGGCAAGGTTTGTAGCCTAAAATAAAATGGATGAGAATGATGATTTTGGTGAAGAAGAGAGGAGGCAGGAGGGCGACTTTATGTCTCTCCGCCTGTCTCCGTCATCCACCGGTCTCCAGTCCCCCGGCTTCCCCCCCTTTTTTTCCGATTTTCCCTCTTTAACTTCGAGCTATTTCCAAGTTGTTGGTATTCCTCTTGCCATTGGTTCAGAAGTTGTAACATCTCACCGTCGATTCTCAATGTTCGAGCCGAGACTGCAGTGACAGGTCTGTCTCTTCGGTGTTCCTGCATAGTGTAGCACAACTCCTGTGTAGTCCATGGAATACTCCATACGAACCGTTTCTAACCTCCTCAGATCCACAGTCAACACAGGATCACTTTGCACATCCAATTCACAAATCTCCAGTTTTTTTTTCTTGTGTCAATTACCGGGGCTCCACTTCCGCGGCTTCCACGGGGGTTTCCGGTGTCTGGCCATCCGTGCTTTCCTTGTTGAATACGAACTCCGGGTGATTTATCCCGGGTTCAGAGCTCTGTGTTTTGTATAGTTGTTAGTCCAACATGAGTAACTCATTTCAGTTGCAATTGTAATTGGCCATATAGAGTAGTCGTGGAGTATGCCTCAGACCACGAGCCCTCGGTTGAACTGTGCTGTACATCTGTACATCTGCACATCGGAGGGGCCAAATGTGGCGGTCAGCCCACATTTTCACGTCAACGTATGGCGGACTGGGATTCTGGTCTATTTTTTAATTTGTTAACTGGTGTTCTTTATTGCGTTGGGGAAAGGGAAGAAAAAGGGATTTTACACAGTGCAGAGTACAAATCTTGGAAGTACAAACATGCTGATATTCGAAAGACCGTGGGCCCCGATGAATAACCTCCACGTATAACCACTTCAACTTACCACTCAAGGCACTATCTAATATTTTCCATTCAACTACTGTGAGACTGTATATTAAAATGCTATCAGCTCCACAGCGGCAATGTCTTTGCAATTTCAACTCCCCAGTCCACCTACGCTACGACCTCTATTAATACTGCCATTCAAGCTTATTTCGCACCAGGCTGTGCCAATATGGCCTTTGGGTCTACGCAGGATGTGAGCCACCCCAAGCCAAAGCTCGGTACTACAGCGGAGAACGCCAGAAGGCCGTCTTCAAAGGCCATAAGCTCAGGCGGGCGCCTCTAATCCCTGATGACTGCTTCTTGGTCCGGGCTTCTCCTATTTCCGGCGATGCCCAGCCTGCTGCAGCTTCTATCGAGTCATTCCACCTTGAGTCTTGTGGAACCTAGGGCCTCAAAATGAAGGAGCTCAAAGAAAGACTTAGCTGGATCTTCAGAAGAATACCGATGCATTGTTCTGCTCTTTTGCATCAATCGGCTGGTCAAAACTACCCCCAGAATATGCTTGCGAGTCAATACCCAGGATGGATTGTGAGGGGCGATGTAGCTGTCCCCAGGTCGTCACCGGAGGAGGTCGATGATGACAAGACTGCCAACTCTCAGGAGGTACTCCAGCAGCGAGAACGCTCATGACTTTCGTGGAAACTGAGGATGCCGGAGGACTTGTTGAAAGATGTTCCTAACTTTAACTTCTAGGGTCAAACCCTATGGTCCTTGGTATCAGTGCGTCCAGTCGTGTAGCTTCATACGTTTTCTTCCATAATTCGTTTCTTTTGTGTTTTTCAAGTAATGCGGTATTCATTGTCCATAGCATTGCCAGTTCTCGATGACCAAGCATTGCTGCAAGCCCGAGCTCGGTTTTATTATAATCTCAAGTCTTCGGGTCTCCGTTTTTTTTTTGTTCTCCAGAGGACAATCTCCATCGGAGTTGCGACAACTTAACTTCTCGGGCAACCGCTTGGTCACACAAACAGGATCTTACCAACCTGTGGACAGTCCTAACAAGTTTGGGGGGGGGGGGGGGGAACAGAGAAACAACCGGTATGATCGCAAAGTTCAAACAAACAAAGATGAGAAACAACTTCCATCCAATGGCATTGAAGGCGATTGCTATGACCTCGCCAATCAAAACATTCAGTTCCCAATATCTAGACTCGATACCGTTGATGGTGGTATACTGACTGAGTGTTAGGTCCAGATATGTAAACTCAAGCTTGACTGGACTTTTGGCAACAATTTTAATAGGCACATCTGAGATAATACTCCTAGAGAAGCAAGAAGTTGACCGTGAATTTAATTGCCTTTTTTTTTTGGTCTTCGAATCTCTGATATCTGGATAGCGGTGGATAGAGGTGAGCCGGAGTCAGCGGCAAGGCGAACTCCGAACCTTTGGAAACCTTTGGGCTTAGATGATTTATGATCCTTTGGGTGTGGTTACGATAATAATTTTCCACCCATCAAAGATTCTTTCTCAACCAACGAAGCCGCGGCGGACTTCAAACAGGTTGCAGTCGGCAAACCAAGATTTGAGAAGTAGCTGCATGACACATCTTTCTACCATGCAGAACCCTTTTCCGGTACATCTGCATGTTTCCACTCTTTTTCTAGAATGTGCGCAGTTAACTGTTCTAAATTGTATCACCCTAGAACACATAGTCATCAAACCATCCCCGAAAGTAACGATATCGCGACGCTGGGGCACCGGATTAAATCCCCCGCAGTGGGGAACTTCCCCGACGGAAGTGGTGAGGAAAATCAACATCTCCGTCATGCCCGGTGCGAAAAACCCCCAGTGCTGGTAAGTAACGGCCTAGATGATCCGAGTGACTTTTAGACTTGGCATCTGACTTAATTCAGTGATCCATGCCGTGTACTTCATCACAAGTGTAATGATGGTTATCCCCCCTCCAGAACCAGCTCTCCTCTAACCGTCATAGGCGACGGCATTTTGCCACAATGCAGCCGATGTATCCGCACAGGTCGCGAATGCACTCGAGGTCAAAGGGAAACCAAATTCCGACAGGCAAAGGGTCGGATGACGCGTACCAAGTTTCCTAGCAACCAAGTTTGGCTCCAACCACCATCTAGAGGTTAGATTCTGTACCTGATTCCCGTGAGATCTAGTCTGACACCAGGCCCTGTTCTAGTTGACTTTGTGCTCGAAAGTGGAAGCGGTCACGTGGACAACTCGACTCAGGCGGCAACCGGGGTGCTTTCACCTGCCGGGAGTTTGCATAGTCTTGAGTCTAATCCTATGCCGGAAAGGCTGTCTCCCGGGTCCTCATATCCAACCCCTTTGCCGCAATATGGATTCGCAACCCATCAAGTACACACGAATAGTAGTGCTGTTTCGCCAACACTCCCGGTGGGGGGTACACCTGAACGTTCAAATCAGCGGCCATGGCCTTTGAGAGACCCCAAGGAGGCGCGTTTATTGCAGCATTTTGTGGAAAAAGTTGCACCCTTCGTACGTGATGATCTATTGTTCTAAAGAGTCAATAGTGTAATCTGACTGTCTGATATCAAGTTCGATTGCACGGATGGCCAGCGGCATTTTGCCATCCATATCCCTAATCGGGCCCGCCGTTGTGAGACATTATTCAATGCAATACTGGCAATGTCAGCCCGTCATTTGAATCGCACAACAAATTTCGACCCTTTTGAGTCAGACCGCTATTACCAAGCATGTCTAGAAAAGTTGATCCCCGCGCTGGATGACCACGGCGTGACGATGGATGATGATTTGCTGGCTGCGACTGTAATTCTACGCTTGCTGGAAGAGTTTGATGGTGAGCAGGGTCTCTCTTTCCACGTGTGTCAAGAACCCTGCTGACCACGATCCTAGTCCCACTCGCTGGGTCCGATCTTCGAGGCCACTCCTTCGGGACAAAGGCTTTCATACGGTCTCCATCATTGATGACCACAACCCCAAGTCTACGACAGGCCGTCTATTGGAGTGGCCTACGCCAGGAGATTTACAATTCCCTTAGCCTTCACCAAACCCCCGACAATGAGCTCATATCCCTGGACTTGAATTCCCGCTTTAACTCTTTAGGCCCTGATGCAGGCGATTGCGCATGGGCGAATCAAGCAATCACTCACTGTGCCCACGTTTTAGTTTTTTGTTTTGGGGACGGGCCTCGCTCGGCGATTGTGCATGCGGAACTAAAGGCACATAATCAGCAATGGAATGAGAATCGGCCGGACTCTTTCGATCCATATTTTGTGGGTGAGGACGGGGAGGTGGGAACCAAGTTCCCCGACATTCGTTACGGGTGTCCCTGGCATGGTATGTGTATCGGGCGATCTTCCAGGCATTGGAGTAACCAGAAAGCCAATTTAGGGATGTGAACTGAGGCTAATCGCTTGGGACTATAGCAATCGGCAATCAATATATTGATCTTGCGCAGATTCTGCTTTCTGTGCATGACCCAACTCTGCCTACAGTTGGACCTCTGCGCCGGCGTCTGATTCAGGAGGCTGATGTAAGTGTCTGCGTAGATTTTTTTTTTTCTTTTCAATCTACATTGACTACTCGACCTGAGACTGACAGGAGGTTCAGAATCAGGTCCGCAGCGGGGTTTGGAAAGTGTGTGGCGCGTCCTTGTCTAATGCCTCGGTGCCCCCAGCCATGGTTGTCGGCTGCATGGCCATCCATCTCTGTAAGCAGTGGAAACTGGCAATATGTTCAAAGTATACATGAGACTGACCAGGATCACAGGCGGCGATCGCTTCACGGACCCACATGAACAGGGCCATCTGATCCAGGTCCTTATCCAAACCGATAGACTCCATGGCTGGCCAACTCATGCGCTCCAGCGACAGCTTCAGGAGACGTGGGGCATGCGTTGACCCTTGCGCTATAGTGTAAGCGCATAGTACTCGGTAGGAGAGAGCGAGAAAGAGGACAAGATCATGTCTCGCCTCTTTCCAACCTGGGCTGCGTCGGCAGTGGAGGCATAGGTGCGACATATTATCGTTTCTCTCCGCACGTAATTAAACGCCCCATACGGGGTAGCATCTTGTCTCATTCTCCCGTCATCGTGTGCGTTTGGCGAATTTTCAATCAGTGACCAAACCACCTGGGCTCGGAGCATGAAATTCTGACAACCACCCAAACGATACTCTGTATGTAGAGATATATCTACAAATGGACGAAGTGTGTAGGGAGGATTTCTGCTTTCGGCCAAGTGCCCCGGAGTCTTGCATGATGTGTGGCGTTGGGAAGTGGCCAGTAATAGAAGCGGGTTCGGAGGTGGAAAAAATGGCCCCGTGGATCGCACGGGTAAAATGCACCGAGTAGATTTTGGATTCTTTTTCGCTGTTCTAAGAATACGACAAGGCCCTTCCATGATCTCAGGGGGTCATTCGAAATTCCATTCAAACCCCCCCCCC